GTGGTGTCCCCGGAATGATCTTCTTCTTTCTGATACCTTGAGCTGCACAATACTCCTTGAACCCACCATCGAAGTACCTACCACCATTGTCAGACCTCAAATATTTCAGTTTTAGATCTGTCTCTGTTTGAACCACGACATTCCAAGTTTTGAACACAGTAAATACATCAGATTTATGCTTCAAAAAAAAACCAATACATTTATGTTGTGGTCATCTATGAATGTGACGTAGTAGCAAACCTCCAAAAGATGTCACTAGAGAAGGTCCCCACACATCAGTGTGAATAAATTTCAGTTTTCCTGCCTTTTGCGCTCTATCACCATTTAAAAAACTGACTTTCTTCTGCTTCCCTATAATGTAACTTTCACACATGCCGAGGTTAACTGACTTCGGTCCTAGTAGCTTGCCTCTGGAGTGAAGTTCTTTCATGCTTCATTGACTCATGTGTCCAAGCCTGCAATGTCACATGTCTGTTGTGCTCTCTGTAATTGTAGTATCAACATTGTTAATTAAACCAGTAGTTATACACAGTGTACTAGTTTTCTTACCCCGAGTCAGTACCAATGCTTCTTTAGTGACCTTCCAAGTGCTATCTGAGAACACTACTGGATGTTCTCCTTCATCGAGTTTCCCAACATAAATTAGGTTCTTCTTCAGCGAATGCGTCTGACTTTTTGCAAGATCTATTTATTCTTGTTAGGGAGTGTAATTTCAACATCTCTCATCTCCACCATATTCAGAGTTTCTCTATCAGTCAGATTTACCTTCCCAAAGACACCTGCAACATAGTTTCTCATTAACTCCCGATGGGAAGATGTGTGGAAAGAAGCACCTGAGTCTAGTGTCCATTTGTCAACAGAGTCGTGAACTGCTAGCAATCTGTACTTCTTCAGCTACAACATTAACACTGACATTCTCCGTTTTCTTAAAATTTATGCAGTTCTTCTTTATGTGGCCAGCTTTGCCACAATTTCAACAGGTTGCTTGCTGACCAGGCTTTGACTTGCTTTTGCCTCTGTGCTTTGATTTTGACTTCCTTTGTTTGAGTTTATGTTCTATGATCTCCCTCTGGAATCAACATTCAGTGCTGAACTGGAACTCGAGTTCTCACCAGAATCCTTCCTACGCGCATCCTGAACCAAAATCAAATCACGAATATCATTGTATTTCAGTTTAGATTTACCTGTATAATTGCTAACCGCCATCCTAATGACTTCCCAGTTATTTGACAATGAAACTAACAATATCAGTGCACTTATCTCATCGTCAAAATCAATTTTAATAGACGACAATTGATTTGTGATGGTATTGAACTTATTCAGATGTTGAGCAACATACATACCTTCCGCCATATTCAGGTTGAATAACTTTTTCATCAAGTGCACCTTGTTATTCACCGATCGTTTTTCTTACATACCTGATAAAGCTGTCATGGGATCTGTAGTCGTCCTCTCCTTGATGACGTTGTTGGCAACAGATCTCGACAGAGTCATTCAAATAACCCTCATAACTTGTCAATCCAACAGATTCCAACCGGCCTCATCCATCTTCTCTGGTCGCTTTCCTAGTAACAGAAGATGAACTTTTTTTTCATAGAGATAGTCCTCTATTTGCATCCTCCAACAACTAAAATCTGTGCCGTCGAACTTTTCGATCTCCGAAACCTTCACTTTGTCTCTGACCGTCATTTTTACTTAGATCGGAATCGGGACTCTGATACGAACTGTTGTGAAAAACAAACAATAAAACGAAAAAAGTCAGAGAAAAAAAATTGTAAATCAAAAGAACATAGATTTACGCGGTTCGGCAAATTGCCTACATCCACGGAGTTGCAGAGGATTTTATTTGGTTGAGAATTACACCCTTCGATCACCTTGATGATTATAAGAAAAACTCTCCATTTCTTCTCTCTTCTCTCTCTTGGCCTCCTCTCTCCTCCTTTACCCGTGAGCCACCGAAGAAGAACGAACCACAGGGAAGGGGGAAGTTCTCGCCGCAAGCAAATCACAGAAGAGACGGAGTGAGAACTAGGAACCTTGCAATTCTATTATTCCCCGCCGTGAGTCAATGTCTTTTAAAGAATTGCGGAGGGGAGAGCAGCCACTATTTAATCCAATTTCTTATGCAAATATTTAATGGTGGCGAGACCCGCCATCACATAAAAAAGTAATTTATAAGTTCTTTATTCAAAAACCAAAGGCAGCTGTCTTATTAGCTAGAGGACAAAGGTGGGAAGAGCATTAATGAGTCGGGTCCTCCTTAGGAAAACATCGCCTGATAAAACAAGAAACATGAAAGTTCAATTAATTTTTATAACTGGACCTGGGCTCCACTGAACCTAATATTATACCAACGGTTTACGTCTTTCATGACATGGTGGGCAGGCTCATCTTTTAAAAATGCCCCTTTCACAAATATTTTGGTTGAACGAATTCAAAATGACAGACATAGGGGACATGAATATTAACATGATTAAATTAAAGGGGACATGAATATTAACATGATTAAATTAAAGAATGAAATGCAGATTGAGAATAAAAGTGGACAGCTAAATTGCCTCAAATTGCATTTAAGATCAAAATTTATTATAGAACTTGACTTGAAGCGGATGTAGAGGGGATATGTGATGCATTTGGTAACTCGCCTTTGAGTAAAAAAAAAAACATGATAGACAAGGATCTGAATATGAGATTTCATGTAACATTCAAAATTCAATGCAAGAAAATAAATGTCATTTTGAATATACATGAATATAAAATGTAGCATATGCTACTGGATTCGTAACACACATTTGAGCAAACAAAAGCTAATAAATAAGAATTTTAAGCGAAATATTTGCATGCAATTTAATGATAAAATACTAGTGCAAATAATAAATTTGAGATTATGTCTAAATTATGTGCACATATTTTTTAAATGTCTTAAAAAACATATAACTGAAGCATGCTAGTGCACTATGCAAATATATTTAAAATTATTGCAAATACAACATAATGTATTGATAATTGTGCAAATAAATTATGCAACTATATCAAAAATAGTGAAAGCGTGTTATGTGGGTGCATCAAGATGCATATACATTATCCAAATTGAACAATCAAATGATTAGATTTTAATTTAATAATGTGAAGCAGATTAAAAATTAAGTTGAACTCAAATTTAACTCCCTTTTGAAACTCCATATTCTTTTCATTCAAAATCAAATTCATCTAAATACATACAGGCTGTAGGGTAAGGTTGTCAGTCCTATTTTGCTAGTTTTATTTTTCTCTTCAACAAAGTTAAGTGTTGATGAGACTGAATCCCATTTAGGGGATATTTGGTTCGTTGCACGAGTGAGTGTGCTGCATTCTTTTTGTAGGAGTTTAAAAATATAGGTCTTTGGTTGGATGAATTCCAAATGCACTATAAAATTACAATGCATTTGAAATTCATTCTCTATTTTATTTTTAATGTATTTAAAATTTGTTGGATCTAGGTGAATTTCAAATACACTGCTTTATGTTAAGTGTTGCTCGCCATTGCCATTGTTGGCCATCCATGTCAGTGACCCCCGAGAGTCGCCGTCGCAGACCCTCATCAGGCCTCTGCCACGACTTTTTTTAGCTACCACCACACACTTGCCCGCAACCACACTACCACCGATTGCAGGCCCAAGCATCTCCCTCCACCAACCGACCACTGCTATTCATATTAGGGTTTATGAATATCCAGGACGACCAAAATATGAGTTCTTGATTAAGTTTGTTATCATCATTCCACCCGAGCTAAATTATAATAGATTTCTCAATTCAGTTTTAAATTGATGTTGTTATATGCTAAGCAATTAGTGGCTAATAACTAATAGTAATTGAAAGCTATCTACTATTATCGGGTGGGGTAATTAAAAATAGGTTTTTCAGCTTATGGTAACCTTTGGGCAGTGTTTTATTTGCAATTTAATTTGCCTTATGAAAAATTGAACTAGAACCACATAAAATTTCTTTCATGAGTGGTTGGAGTGCGTCTTTTCTGAGCTAAAAATGATCTTCGAAGTGCATGAAATGTTAACGATATTAAAGAGCACAACTTGTCATGATCTTATATTTGATGGCCACACCTTAAAAATTTAATTGGTAGGAGAATGGACATCATTGAAGACAGTACTTTACATGATTTTATGCTTGCACATTGATGCGCACGCCCTCCAAGTTAATTTATTGCACTTTTGGTAGTTGTTTTTTCCACAAACTACAGGATAGTGTTTTCTTTTATTTTAGCACCATCATTTAGATTATAATATATTAAAAATAAATGTATAAACATCAAACTAGAAATCTTTCAAGGAAGTCAAACACTGAAATGAATGAAGCACTTTTTTCGACTACAAGTTAATTTATTTGGAAGGTGAAATATAGACTCTGATCTATGTTTTATTTAAAGGTCATTGGCATGGAAAGTGGTGACAAGAAATAACTTGGCGTTGCAAATTATGAATGTTTTATTTTCTAAAGTAGATTAGGAGCATCTTTTGTTGGCTATAACTGCTATTACGTTTCCTCAATAATGTATTACTTTCTAATTTGTGCTTTTTTACTTATTGTCCAGCTATCATCATTTACCCTGTCATAATTTTTTGGGCTTGGCATTATGGATCTCCCTCTTCCATTTATTAACTAGTGTTTGTTCTAGTGTAGATAATTATATAAAGGAAAGTTTTTTACTTTTTTCTAGTATGTGTGTTCAAATAAATGCATTTCTTGAAGCTTATCAGTCCATTTATGTTAATTTTGAATTTATTTAGAATTTCATTTTTTAGAGACTGTTAGCTTTCTCGTATGATGCCCATTAGGAATAGAGCCACTTAACATTTATTTTGCGCAGATGTCATTTCTCTATCAAATCTTCTGGTATTCCCTTTTCTTTAACTTCCTGCTGTTTGATTATACGAGTAATAGATAAAAGTTAGATAATGCAAGTGTATGAATTGCATATTAATATCTTTGATATTGTGGGTTAGGTGGTTCTTTATATTTATTTGATCGGAAGGCACTCCGTTATTTTCGTAAAGATGGCCATCATTGGAGGAAAAAGAAAGATGGTAAAACTGTTCGTGAAGCCCATGAAAAATTGAAGGTTTTCTATCACTTTGCTTACATCTCTTTGCTCTTGCCACATTTGATATATATTCTTATGCTAGTCTACTTAATCAAAGCACTTCTATTTATGTTTTTTTTTTTTGGTTTCTAAAAAAAAAAAAAAGTAAAAAAAAAAAAGTGTAGGGTGCTTTCTTCCATTAAGATATAATGTAAGATGCCTTTTTTCTTATTTAATTCTATTCTTTTGTTAGCCTTTTCCTGTTCTTGAGATTAAACTATTTTCATTGTTTCATGTTAGATTTTATCCTTCTTATTTCTTTTATATTTTAAAGATCCTCGCAATTCAAGCATACAATTGGTAGGAAGTGATATGTTGTTGATTTTGGTGCCAGTGCTTGGTATCTAACATTTTTTGTTTTGCATTTTTAATGTTGGCTACCTTCTTCCTTGACAAACAAGACATGAAAAAAATCATAAAAAATGGAATATATCTGAGGATATCATTAATGTATAATTAAATATTTTTTAGTTTGATAGGACTAAAACGTGTTCAATGAGGATAGCCAGATGCTAGGCTTGTTTTGCCAAGTTGAATGCCTGATGGAGTAGGTGTGTGCTTCTACAAAAAAATATGATTGAATTTCCATAAAAAAAGTAGTAGTTTATGCTACGAGGTACTTACATAAAAATGAAAAAATTGTTTTTTTTTTGCTGAAAAGTACGCTATAATTGTTCTGTGTGATGACGGCTGAGTTTGATTTCCTTCCTGATCATTATTAAACCTTTACGAGCCTACTTTTTCTATTGTTCTTCCAACCGCTGAGTTCAATCTAAGTATATAGCACTATGCTTTAGAAATGTTTGGTGGAGCATAAAAGATAAGGACTGCATTATGAGCTCATGAATAGAGCATTGGCATGCAGATGAAACAGATTCTTATCAGTGTTTACAAAGATTAATGGAGAGCATTGGCATGCATAAAGAATCCAAATCATTAAGATTATGAAAGTACAACCAAATGTTGAACATAAGAAAGAAAGGTTCAAGCTTCAAAGGTTCAACTAGAATTTAATTAAAGGTTGAATTGTGATGAAATAATAAATGTTAAAATTATTTAATTATTACTCAAAATAATGTAATAGAGGTGTACATATGTGACAAAAATAAAAATATCTATGTATGTTGATCACATTTTTATTGGCATATCTATTAAAATAATATTCTAAAATTTGCACGACCTTTAACTTTTATATTATTTGATTACAATCAAGCTAAGTTCAAATGCATAAATTAAGTTGTAAAAGTTTGGGTTATATAGGAGCATTATATATGCATGTAGTGGAAGACCACTTGGCATTAACTAGCACCTGAACTTAATTTCAACAACAGGAATCTATGTTCTTCGTGACAATTGTGTGATGCTGATGACATTGCAAGTGAAGGTTATTTTAATTTATTTTTTAAACTTATGATTGTCATGGTGGGCCAGCGTTAGCGGAAGAATAGTGTGGCTGCAGAGTTTATTTGAATCCGTATGGTTGCCACTATTATGGCTTGGAGATTGTCAAAGGGGATGGATGTCTGACACTATCGCGGTAGGCAATTTACTAGTAGTAAATGAAAGAGAGTGCTTAAGAGGAATCAAGGGATTAAATGGAAGGGGTGACTTGATATAAGTGCTTATGAATTTGAGGGGCTAGAGTTTCTAAACATTTATTCAGTCAATTTATCTTTAAAATTTTTAAAATCAAGATCAATTTTTAGCCATTAGATTAAAAATGAATGTCAATAATTTGATCTTGAAATGACTTGCATGATTTGTTATGCTGGAGCCCGATCCGACCGCTCCCGCTTCCGTTCTCCCCAATTGTGAACCGTTCCCGCGAAGTTCCTGCTCCCGTCTCCCGCTCGGTCGCGAACTGTTCCCGCGAGTAGTTCGTTGCTTCTCGAAGAGTTGCGTCTCCCACTCTGTCCGACAGTTCTCCCTTCCCGTTCACAATAAAAGGCATCGCACAACTCCTTTAGTTTCTATGTCACGATTTTTGTGTTCTTCTTTGGACTTCCTCGGGACAGAGGAAGAAAAGTGCAAGCAGTAGTTCCTTGCGGTAGAAGGAAGAAGAAAGAAGAAGAAGAATATTGTTCTCCCTTGGCTTCTTTTTGGTGGCTTGTGGCAGAAGAGAAATTGGGTTTATTTCTCTTGTAAGTCTATCTTCTTCGGTGTATCTCGGTGCAGAGAGAGAAGAAGAGAGAGCAACGAAGTGAGAGATTCCTCTTGTAAGTCGAGACGATCGATTAGTGTAAATTCCTCAAGTAGTAAAATCCTCTGCAACTTCGTGGACGTAGACAATTTGCCGAACCACGTAAATCTGTGTGTTCCACTGTGTTACTGTTTTCTGGTGTGAATTCTCTCGTTCTATTTTTCACTTCATCAAAGATTGTTCTCCTATTTTATTCATATATATACCACAACAACTGGTATATACCACACCAATGATTTAACAAAATTACGATTGATTCACGTTCAACTGCTTAACTACTATTAATTCTTAATCTATTTAGTTTGTATCAAAATTGTTTTAGTTATGGATTAAATTGACCAGGAACCAGTTCACTATTAAACTGGTCAGCTGAGCTAGTTAAGCTTACATTTTTAACCCTTTGGTGGCATGCAACCCTTCACAGTCTGTTAAGTCAAAAATCTATGAAGGTATCAAGCAGGTCATCCTTGTGTAATCGATGTTTGTTTTGTCTTCCAATGCTGTGACGTTGATTTTGAAAAACGTGGCTTAAACAAAGAAGGTGACTTACAATGAACAAAATGAAAGAAGGAAAATAGTGCTTGCCATCCCAAGGATGTTAATATCTAAACTTCACCATTAACTATTGTATCATTCCTTGGACATGAAACCAGATAAAGAAGATCTCAACTTCTCCCAACCCAAACATGTTTGCAAAATTCAAATCAAAAGAGATTTCATACTATTCCCTAGAAATAATGCCCATATGTTTTCTTGGTTAGATAGCTAACTCTTGAATCAATGAAAATATGTTGTTATCCACTCGTATGATTTAACACTTGAATATTAAGGAGTTGTCATTGCTATTAGAATCTCATTAGCTTTCATTTTTTACGATAGGTTGATCCACAACCTATAATTTCTTTTCGAACAACTTGAGGAATGAGTCCACCTCTTCTAGTATTTGTGGAAGAAAAAAAAAGTTCTCAGACATTGATGATACATAGCAATTACACTGCTTGAGGACTTGTATAAATCTAGCTCTCTTAGCTCGATATGAAGGCTTCTTATTCATTGAATACTAAAGACATTAACAACAGCTTGGGCAAAATTGATGATGACATGGGTAGCATGGCTGACGATGATGATAACCTATCATATTGACTAGGTTTAGAATTAGATCACACCCCAAAGAGCTATGAATGAGCTAGAAGAACTCAATTTAGGAATCATGGGGGGTCCTTGTATAATCCTTGCTAGTACACCATACACTTTTGTTATTATCCTTATTTGGTTTTGGTTGATATTGGGTTCTAGAGAAGAATGCTGAACTTGAAAAATTCAAGAAGGTGGAATACGAAGAATAGTCCGAGGGAGTAAATTAAGCATTTTTGTTGAAGTTGGAGTTCAATAACTTAAGAGCTCTTGCTTATGTACCCAAAACAAGGGATTCTCACATTTTTGGATTGAAATCTTTTTAAAGACGTGCATCTCTTATATTTTTTTTATATGGGATGACTCCCTTTATAGAGGGCGGTTAATGTCCTTCTACAAGTGGGCATTTGAGCTCTAATACTTTTCTGCTCATGAGGAATAGTATGAAGATTTTATCTTATATCATAGACAAAGAATTTATATATTCTCTTTGATCTTTGAGGCAATTTACAATCCCTCTTGGGTCACATATGAGGCGTTCTTTGGTGAAGTCAACATAGTTTTAGCTTTCCTTGTTGCGTTTAGTTGACTTTGCAAGATACATCATATGCCTTTTTCCAAACCCTCTCTTTTCAAAAGTTCATGATCAATTGTGTTATTCTTTATCCTAGCTGATTCAAAGTTGATTAGGCTTTGGAGATTCTCAAATTGGCTCTACCATTTTGAGTATTATTTGAAAGCTAGCCTTGATAAAAAGTTTCCTAGCATGCAAGTTGAGTTATTATTTATGGGTATTTATCACAATTTATGTTAATATCAATTCTCAAATCAAGAATATAAAATTTTCAAATGATGGTGAAATTTTAGGGTAGGGCTTTATCTTCATCAGTGCCTTGTTTGAGAACATATTCTCATGACATTGTTGCCACAACTACTAGTGGTAACATCCTTTTTGGGAATTATTGATGCGCTCAGTTGGCTCGTAAGTTTGTTTAATTTATTTTTAAAAAATTTCTTATTAGTCATGATAGTTTCTTCTTATGCAATGTTGGTTTTAGTTACCTTTGTTCACTCAAAGATGGTTGCCCTTATTTTTATCATTTTCAACATCACAATCTAAAGATAAGAAGCTGCATCTGGATGCCATGTAATTTGAGATTGAAGGATGATTACTATTGAACCTTCTATATAACTCAGAATTGTAAGGGATTTTATGTTTTCAAGATCCAAAAGTGTAGATTTATTATTTGTAACACGTAAGTAGGCTTGGGTTTTTTTGGTGTTGGATTGATAGTTAACCTCTGCAATGGGAAAATTGTATTATTGGTTTCCTCTTCTATGAATTTGGTTAACAGAATTGTCGAGGGATTGTTGGGTGGTTTTAAGAGTGTTTCATATTAAGGAGAGATGCATATTTGATATTTCTAAGTCATAAGCAACTAGTATTTATGATCATCATTGGAATCTCAAGAGTAGCCCTCTTTGTTGAAATCTCAATAGTAGCCCTCTTGGTTGATTCCCTTTGACCTGGTCTCCCATGACTCTGTCGGCGTTTAAAAAGGGGGGAGTTACGTTTGGGGGTCGCCCGTAAGAAGCTGTCGGTCGTCGGAATCGAAATCCCGTCACCCGCTTCGGAAGGACTTTT